TAGTTTTTAACCGACTTCAAAAAAAGGAGGAGGTTCTCAATTTGACCGTATATATACTTTTTTGGTGAATGAATGATGTTGACTTTGAAATATATTGATCAAAACTCAATACCTACTAGATTTTTCGAGTCTTTAAAGCGTCATTTTGTGCCATTTCTCCAAATGTCAGAACATAAAACGTTACTCGTATTTATTAGATAAACTAAAAACCTTCAATCACATTTGCTACGAACATTTAAATTTCACAATTTCATCGCAAAATATTCAGGTAGGTAAATATATTACAGAGCTATTACGAAATGGAATATTCTTTTCATTCGAAACACTTTAGTGATTGTTGAGAGAAATATTGAAATATTTTCAGTCGTATTTAGATTTTATTGGCTTTTTGACTACTTTATTAGGCAATATCTTTTGTGAATCGGTATATTTTTTATATTTTAGGACGGTCAAAGAATTGATTTAGAGGCTGAACGGTACCTATCGTAAAAGACCGCCCGACTCACCCGAGGGATGAATGCCCAATTTCCTTCAGTTGATATCCCTCTGTCATCATCATCTTCAGCCAAAAAACATCCACTGCTAGACAAAAACCTACATATAAGTACAGTTATAGAAGACTTACAAATTCCAATATACCAAAAACTCTTTACCCGACTCGCATAACTGGACTTTGTACTCAACTTAATACTAACATAGTTCCCGAAATAGCTATAAACTACTCACTCAAGCCGAAGAATAACACAACAACTTAACACCATATTCCATGTCACAACACAAGCTATTCATCTATTGTCATCGTACGAAAAATAGCCTCGGAGCCGCTGAGGACTTAACGGGTTGCTGGAGCTCCGGCTCGAAGTGCAGGCTTTGGTTTTTAGTCAGTAACAGATACACATCCTGTCACCTAACCCAAGACGGGGGAAGTCATTGGATGATTATCGCAAAAAAAAGAAAATAACCTCCACATAATATAACATAACATCACGCCTTTTATCCCCGTAGGAGTAGGCAGAGGTGCATATTACGGCACTTAATGCCACTGCACCATGTAACACACACTTTTCACTATTTTATGTTATGAGTCCTATGTAATAGGGGGTGAGCTTATTGCCATATACCGGCCACAATTCCAGAATCCGTGCTACCACTGAGATTTTTTTTAAAACCCAGTAATACTTTGCCCGACCAGGGCATCGAACCCGTTGCCCGGCAGTCGCACTTGCGAGCAGTCGAGGCAAAAATAACCTTCACTCACTATTAAAATATTACTAAGTTCACACTTGGCAACACTGTCTCCAAATTTCCTAGCTTTTCGGTCCCACACCTGTTTCGTTGCGTTTTTAATATCCTTTCATTTCATTATGTATTCTGTGCGGAACCTCGGCACATGTCTAGTCGCTCGACTGATATTTTGGCGGCAAACTGTCGGCATTATTAAATATGGCCGCCGGAGTACGTGTTCTTGTGGAGATAGCTCTATTCTCTATGATGCTTGTAATGTGTTTAGGTTCTTTTTTCTTTTTTATTGTGTTTGTCTACGAAGTTCGTTGCCAACGTCTGTCTGTATAATTTTTGTGAACGATTTGTTTGTCCAAATGGGTTTTTGTCCTTTCATAATGTTATAAGGATAAAAATGAAAATATCTCAAGTCAATTATTAGCTACCACAGTACTGCAGTAGTGGTAAAGCCATCATTCAAAATTGGAACTTTCATTTTACACGATAAATATTGATTACACCAAATTGCAATGAAGCCTAACTAACACTGATCACTTAATAATAGACACCGCATGATTCGTTGCTATAAAAATACCCTTTTAGTGTATCAAAATAAAGATGTTTTCAATATCGGATACGATAAATTATCGGTGCTGAAGCTTATCAATACAAATTAATCTCTTAAAACAACAAAATTATTAACGTAACCAAAATTCTGCATTCTTTGTAAATTCACAACATACCGCACATCAGACTACACCTATTTTTCCAACTCTTTCAATAGATTTCCAACTTAATAGCATTGTAATAACGTCGAAAATGAATCGAGAATTAAGGATAGCTTGATGAGCGGAATTAATAGATAGCATAAGTACGCCACAGAAATAATTAACAGTATTGTTAATGTGTAGCCATGCATGTAATTGGTAGGTAATGTATTAACGCGAGTTGCTTTAATGTAGCTCGGCCTTTCAACACTGCACACAACAAGCGAGCTTTGATACGCTTCGGTGTAAATGCGGCGAGCGTCGAAATTAGTTGATAGATTTTCATTGTGCTTGTGGTACGTGGGTAAAGGTCCCAGGAACTATCGGAAATGTATGAAATTGCTATTATAAGATACAGAATTTAACTAGGATACTTAAATAGTACACAATAAGACCTAAGATTGCCTGTAAAAGCCCCTACATGAGATTTAGTAATGAAAACTAATTAACATAAAGTCACTTAACCATTTCTTATTTTTCACAACTTGATTCTCTACAAGTTAGAAGATAATCGCACTCACACGCACGAAGCGCTTCGCATCACGCTTCCTTGTGCGTACTGCTAAGGAGTGAAATACTTAACCACTAGGCGAGAAAGTGGCCAAACGTCGGCCCATCTAATATAAAAAAAGAAAAAGAAAAATATTTTGTCGATAGAAGTAACACATATTTTACAAAGAACAAGAAATTACTTCTTTGTTTACTGTAAACTCTAACGCCAAATATACAGGACATTAGAGCTAAGTTTTGGCATAAAGCTTCTAACATCGTAGTAACGCTCCATTGCCACAGAAATACAAATACGTCTCTATTCGCCAAAAAAAAATTAATACTGTCTAAGAAACAACATCCATATACATACATATACATCCAAACAAAATACATAGCAAACAATACATTAAGTTCATGAGCCAATAACTCTTCGATAAAAAATTGACAAAATATTTCACGTACATATGTAGGTCCGTAGCATCCCTATTCGCAAGTAGTCCAGGAGCTGGGGACGCGTGCGACCCATTTATCAACAATAGACATTCATGTTGAAATATAGCCAGGCAAGTATACACCATGTACGATAGTTGCTGCATCAAACTGGTTGATTTGTTACCTCAACGGTCGAGTGCGAGCTGATACCTTTGTAACGTACTGGAATAGGAAATATACGAGTATGTTCGATGCTGGCTTTTGTACTACTAAAGGTCGCATTTTGTGATACGAATGAGATTTTCTCTTTATACCTAGATTAAGTCTTTATAGGTAATTTGTTACTTACTGTTACGTCACGTCTTCTAAATATAAATCCGGGAGTGAATAATTTATAACATTGTGTCGAAAATAAGTTAATAAATAATTTAATGTTCTAAGCTCTTTCGCCAATTTATTTTCAAACTAAATTGAAATGGGTTGACGTGAATATCAGGTTACGAGAACTTTATATTATATATTTTTAGGATATTGTTAAGGATTTATTTATAGGAATCAGTATACCTATTCTGATTCTCTGTTGACTTCAGCACGTTCATAAGGTTTTTTTTATAATTATGTAGAACGTCTCGTTGGCCGAGTGGTCGCAAGTGAGACCGCTGGGCAAGAGGTCTCGGGTACGATTCCCGGGTCGGGCAAAGTACTACTGGGGTTTTTAAAAATTTCAGTGCTAGAACGTAGTCTGGAATTTGTGCTCGATATATAGCAATAGGCTCACCCCCTATTACATGGGACTCATAACATAAATAATGAAAAGTGGGTGTTACATTGTACAGAGGCATTAAGTGCCGTAATGTGCACCTCTGCCTACCTCTTCGGCAGTCGTACTTGCGACCACTCGGCCAATGAGGCAGTCAATCACGGCAACTTAAACATATAGGTACGATTTACAAAGCATACCAAAATCCTTAAATATCTTTGAACAGAATCAAATGAATATAAAGAGAGAAATATAAATTTACAAAAGGGAATTCATCCCAGTGAGTGCGAGCCACTCAAAGATAAACATTTAAAAGATAAATCGTTCGACACGGCTGGTCACTACGTAGGTGTCAAAAAGGCAACTCTTCACAAAATGGCCGTTAATTTGCGCGCGAAACAATGTTGAATTTAATGGCTCGTGAGCTGTCAGTGACGTGTGCAGGTTTTATTTCGGTTTTTTATTTATTTCTGAAGTGTTTGTAGCTTTGTGGTATTTTAGTAGTTGCTGTTTTTGATGATGTGATTTTTGTTTGAACTTGATTTCAAAATGCAATTCGTGTGTAACAACAGCCATGCGAAAGGAAATATTAAAATGTGGTAGACATACAAATCAAAATATTGTTGAGTTAAGTTATGTGTCCTACAAAAGCAATGATAATTATTACTTAGGTATAAGAATATATTTATTTGTCCACAGAGAGAACTAAACGCAGTGGACTTCAAAGTTTCAGCAGACTTGAAGTTCGTGCTGCTGATCTCTGACGTCAGACCCGGGTGGCGACACGCTCGCCTCGCGCGGTACCACGTCTATGACGTCATCAACAGGTCGGTACTTCGCACTATTGTTAGACCAATTACCATTTAACTCGTCGAGTACCGGTTTTATAGACACAATTAAAGAACAATAGGTCGCGGTCACCGGTGACCGCTTGGTGTTTGACAGATTAAGCGCAAATTCTAATAAAAATCAAAATAATTATTATAAAAATACTTTAACTTTTGACTGCACGATTGGTGCGGTGGCTGGGCAACCGGCTGCCGTGATACGTGTCGCGGGTTCGATTCCCGCACGTAACAACACTTTGTGTAATTAACAAATTGTTGTTTCGAGTCTGGGGTGTCATTATGTATGTGAACTTGTTATGTTTGTAAATGCACCCACGACACAGGAGAAAATACCGATGTGGCGCAACGTTTTTAAAAAATAACTCATTTACCTACATAGGTGTTCACCCCTACCTACTGAATTTATACCAAAATAGAAGATCTTACTTTTACTTCGCACACAATTCTTTAAAAAACATGAGCAAAAATCTTTGCCCATAGAACTCCTAGACTACAACACCCCTCAAAATTCCAGGAACAAAATCCCAGTGTCTCCAATAGAGGATGACAGATCAGCTCCACTACTGCAGTACGCAGAGTGGTCGCCAGTGGGCGCCACGCTGGTGTTCGTCCACGATAACGACATCTACTACAAACCCAAGGTGTTCAAGACTCTAGTTTGCAGAATTACTAATAACGGTAAGATTGGCTTCGATTTTGAAAGATATGTTTAAAAAATTAGGCTTAAGTTTTGGAACAGGATCTCCTGGAGACCTCCCAGGAGATCCTGGCCTGGCCTGGCCACAAAAACTTAGATTGGATTCAATCCTTCAGTTGTGTAAAGAACTATCGAGTTTTTATTTTAATATTATGATCGAGAATAATGTTATTATCTGTCTTTACAAATATATCCCTATTACAATAGGAATAGCATACAACTAGAAGATCCTATCACATGGAACCGAAAAACAATGCTACTTTTTTTCGGTACAAAGACAGAACAGTAGGTACTCTTACGGTTCAAAATCTGCTGTTCCAAATTGTCCATTTTGCAGAAGTTATTTAAGCTTTTCAGAAAACCCCCAACCATTGTGTTTCCAGGAGTTCCTGGCGTGATCTTCAACGGTGTGCCAGACTTCCTATATGAGACAGAAGTGCTGCGTCTGGACAAGGCGCTATGGTTCAGTCCGGATGGCCAGACTCTCATGTATATTACGTACAATGACACGCTGGTCCAGGCACATAAGTATCCCTGGTACGGTCTGGACCAGCAGGAACCGCCGGCGTATCCTACTATAAAGGCCTTGAGATATCCTAAGGTAGGTTAGAAGGTTTTACTTATCTGTAACGACTCTTGAATAAATGTTATCAAATTTCAGCCATTCTTGTATCGTTGTCGGATGAATTTCACGTTTCTGTAAGCCCCCATACGCACTAGCGGTCGTATCGACAGACGCGTTGCATTGGAAAAGCGAAAAGTAAGGGGGGTTAATAGGCTGTGGATTGTCACATACATATAAATCCAAGTAAACATCGGATAATACCAAACAACACAAAGATAATTATATTAATTATCAGGCCTTAGTTTTTATATCAAAAATAATGTGTTATTAATCTAATTAAAAAATTCACTAATTCAGACAATTTATAATCATTTCTGTAGAAAAATAATTTGCATTTCAATTGAAAATTGTCAAATAAATTGGACGCTACCCTTCGACAGGTGAACACAAACAACCCGGTGGTGACAGTGAACGTGGTCAGCGTGAAGACACCCAAGTACCTATTCTCACATGCCATACAGTTCACCTCGCAGGTTGATGATAGTGAGTATTGCATTATAATGGGTGTGGGAGAGCCATGCTTCGGCACGAATGGGCCGGCTCGACCGAAGTGATACCACGGCCTCACAGAAAACCGACGTGAATCAACGCTTGCGTTGTGTTTCGTCGTGTGAGTGAGGTTACCGGAGGCCCAATTACCCTCCCCTTCCCCAATCTCCCCAATCCCTGAATCCCCAACGATCCTCAAACTCCTAATGCCCAAAAGGCCGGTAACGCACCTGTAACGCCTCTGGTGTTCCAGGTGTCCATGGGCGACGCCAATTGCTTACCATCAGGTGATCCGTCTGCTCGTTTACCGGCTTATGCTATAAAATGAAGTCGGTTGAAAAAATGGAAATATTAAAGATTTGGTTTCTTTGAGTAGTTATATGAGTTTCCGAAACGTCACTTTAAAAACTATTTACCTTCTTGTGTCCAGGTTGGTACGTGAGATGGACCGGCTGGACGTCAGAGAAGCAGCTAGCAGTGCTGCTGCTGAACAGACCGCAGAACGTCTCCCTCATCAGCGTCTGCAGCGCCGTGCACTACAACTGCCAGGATGTAAGTTTTACCTAATAAGGGTAAACTTTTACTTTTATCACATCACTGCCATTAACAAAAAAAGAACTAAATAAAGAATAAGCAAGATCAATTAATTTACTCACTTGTGTTCCTGGCTTATTTAAAAGACAAACACAATAGAAACTTGATCTTATACTTTTGCACTTTTTATTTTTACCTTTCCACGAAGAAGGTTCCTTTACTACTAGTCTAGTGACTGTTAAAACATAGGTTACACATTAATCCTGCAAGACCATCACTAATTAAATTCTTTTACTTCATAGGCCAAATGATTTTCTAAGCATTTTCAGTTTGACCCTTGTACTCGTATCTATTTTCAGATCTACCGCGACGAATCGGACGGTTCCCGCTGGTCAGGTCTCGGCTCAGAGCCTGTAGAAGATGACTGTGGCTGGTGCGGCAGTATGGCCCTCGTGGGCTCAAAGTCCACCATCTATACCACGATGCCAGTCGCGGACCTGCCGCCAGGGGGCGCGGGCGGCTGGTGGAGACATGCTGTCAGGCTCACACAGGATTCCAGAACAACACTGACTTTAGGAAGTTATGAAATCACACAGCTCATGGGGTGGGATGAACGGAGAAGATACTTGTGAGCGTTTGATGTTATACCGTTTGAATTTCCTTAATCTGAACGAATTATTTGTCGGTCGGTGTCGGCATTCCACATGAAACGACTGACTATCAAATGATTACCAAAACAAAACATTGATGTTACGTTCTATTTCATTTTACACTAAGATGTTTATAATATAAAAAGACAATATACCTTAAATAAATTAAGGTTCATTAAATTGATTTGATGTGGGGAATATGCTTCAGGATGTGAACGTTTATAGTAACTTCTTAACGCTTTATCATAATCTCCAACTTTCCCAAACAGATACGTGATAGGCACAGCGCCAGAGAAGGCAGGTGAGCGTCACCTGTACAGAGTGAAGGTACCGACTGACCCAGCCAGCTGGCCTGACTCACCAGCATGTCTCACATGTCCTGGCACTGATCTACTGCCTCCTGACGCAACTATGGAACCTGTTAGTGAAGATCCGGTAAGCGGAAATGATAATTATCACCTTCTCTTCTATCCCTTGAAGTCTACATCTTGTATCCTTTGACCTTGGAGAAATTAGTTTGGGATTACGAGCCTTATGCTCCACTATTAACATAATACGTGACTTCATAATAGTACGCCACTAGTTTAATACTCAGTTTTTGTCAGTGGAGAACGTCAACAACAGATAAATAGTGATTGCGAAAATCGAATTTTATTCATATATTTCCAAGTCAGAGTTTAAGTTTCTGTTTCATCCCTAGGAATTCGAGAACGCAACATCATCATTACCCGCGTGGCCAACATCCACAGTACTGCCTCATATCGCAGACGAGAATGACACCCTGCCCACCGAGTGCCTCTACAACCGCATACTGTTCAGCAAGAACTACTCTTATTACGTGCAGGTAACCATAAATTATTTTGTTCGACATGTATTAAAATGTGCATGTAGTGACATCTATCGCCATACAGTTAGAAGATAGTTCGAGCAATAGCCCACTAGATGGCGGGCTTAGTATGATGGATTATTCTCCTCTTTCCTAGGTTAGGAGACAACATAAAACTCTTATTCCTTAAATTTTGAAGATAAGTAATGTATATTTTCACGGTGTTTACAAAAGTACTTAGATGTGATATAAATTTAGTTTTTTTTACTCGAAAATCTGTTGAAGTTTAATGTAATCCGTAAAACTGTTTACCGATGGGTACAAATGTCGTAATATTAAATTGCATCCTACCAGGAGTGCCTAGGCCCGGGTCCCCCGGCGACGTTCGTATGTTCCCACTGGGGCGCGCGGCGCGCCGTACTGTGGGACGGACGCCCGCTCTCTAACAAGTTCGCGGCGCTGGCACACCCGCAGGTCAAGGACTTCAGAGTTGAGGTAAATATTCACTGAACTAATCTACTTACCATACTTTAGAAGCGACAAGCAACACTCAAATCTTCGATAAGTAAAGATTTATCGAGTATATTCTAAAATTGACCGCGAATCATTTCAGGTGCAAGCCTACAGAGCAGCTCGTGTTCGCCTCCTCTTACCTCCAGGATTCAGAGAAACTGATGATCTACCTCTTCCATTAGTGTTGCACGTGTAAGTTACCTATACTGTTGTTGTCAATTCCATATTTGAAGTGTATTACTAAAATATATGAAAAGATTACTAGTTTACTAGGTACTCTTTTATTAATCAGGTCCGCCCAACCTGGTGGTCAGTTGGTAACGGAGCGTTGGAAGCCAAGTTGGGGCTGGTACCTAGCAGCCGCGAGGAACTTCATTGTCGCTGAGATCGATGCCAGGGGCTCCGGTGGACAGGTAATACTATTTCTTTGTAAAAATTTCAACTTTTTTTTATTTAGTTATTCGAAGACCTCAAAGAACAAAGAAACTTAAGTAAAAATACCATTTCAAAAGTAATTTTTTTGTTCTAGGGTGAGGAACTTCGAACAGAAATCTATCACAAACTGCTGTCAGTTGATGTTGAAGATCAAATAGCTGTCCTCGCGTAAGTATCAAAATACAATAAAACTTCACCTTACATCAACACCATCTGACGAGCTCAAACACTTCAACCCCCATTGAGATGGTTGATGGTACCTGTTCCGTTTAACGTAACGAAATGTTTGGTGCAGGTACCTCCGCGACAATTTGAAGATGGTGGACGGAGCCCGCGTGGGCGTGTGGGGCCGCGGGTACGGCGGCGGGGCGGCGGCCGCGCTCGCGGCTGACGACGCGCGCAACGTCACGCGCTGTCTTGCCGCCATTGCACCGCTTACCGATCTCAGACATCATAGTGAGTGCTGCATGCTTGTTATTTTACCATGCCATTTCTGTTCGCTATTGACCTTTTTATTAGCAGACCACTGAGATCGATCCTTAGTTTTTTATCTTTACTAGTTCCCAGTCCGTTTATGGATATCGCCACTTCATGTAACTCGATAACATCTTTCTCTATATTTTCTTTATCACTCGACACTGCTTAACACGTTGGTTACTACCTGATCACCGATAACTTAAATTAGCGGGGAGTTGAGTTTGTCACCTACATCAGTTTGTGTGAGTGAGTGTATGTTTGTGTGTCGCGCAGACTCGTACTGGACGGAGCGGTACAGCGGGCACGGGTCGACGTGGGCGGGCACGCTGGGCGTCAACGCGGTGTGGCGCAAGGCGGGCAACCTGCCGCCGCGCCGCCTGCTGCTGGCGCACGCCGCCGCCGACCTGCGCGCGCCGCCGCACCACGCGCTCGCACTGGCGCGGGCACTCATACGGAACACCGCGCTCTACACGCACCAGGTACATATGGCCTGTTTGAGACCCTGCGCGCGCCGCCGCACCACGCGCTCGCACTGGCGCGGGCACTCATACGGAACACCGCGCTCTACACGCACCAGGTACATATGGCCTGTTTGAGACCCTGCGCGCGCCGCCGCACCACGCGCTCGCACTGGCGCGGGCACTCATACGGAACACCGCGCTCTACACGCACCAGGTACATATGGCCTGTTTGAGACCCTGCGCGCGCCGCCGCACCACGCGCTCGCACTGGCGCGGGCACTCATACGGAACACCGCGCTCTACACGCACCAGGTACATATGGCCTGTTTGAGACCCTGCGCGCGCCGCCGCACCACGCGCTCGCACTGGCGCGGGCACTCATACGGAACACCGCGCTCTACACGCACCAGGTACATATGGCCTGTTTGAGACCCTGCGCGCGCCGCCACACCACGCGCTCGCACTGGCGCGGGCACTCATACGGAACACCGCGCTCTACACGCACCAGGTACATATGGCCTGTTTGAGACCCTGCGCGCGCCGCCACACCACGCGCTCGCACTGGCGCGGGCACTCATACGGAACACCGCGCTCTACACGCACCAGGTACATATGGCCTGTTTGAGACCCTGCGCGCGCCGCCGCACCACGCGCTCGCACTGGCGCGGGCACTCATACGGAACACCGCGCTCTACACGCACCAGGTACATATGGCCTGTTTGAGACCCTGCGCGCGCCGCCGCACCACGCGCTCGCACTGGCGCGGGCACTCATACGGAACACCGCGCTCTACACGCACCAGGTACATATGGCCTGTTTGAGACCCTGCGCGCGCCGCCGCACCACGCGCTCGCACTGGCGCGGGCACTCATACGGAACACCGCGCTCTACACGCACCAGGTACATATGGCCTGTTTGAGACCCTGCGCGCGCCGCCGCACCACGCGCTCGCACTGGCGCGGGCACTCATACGGAACACCGCGCTCTACACGCACCAGGTACATATGGCCTGTTTGAGACCCTGCGCGCGCCGCCGCACCACGCGCTCGCACTGGCGCGGGCACTCATACGGAACACCGCGCTCTACACACGCACCAGGTACATATGGCCTGTTTGAGACCCTGCGCGCGCCGCCGCACCACGCGCTCGCACTGGCGCGGGCACTCATACGGAACACCGCGCTCTACACGCACCAGGTACATATGGCCTGTTTGAGACCCTGCGCGCGCCGCCGCACCACGCGCTCGCACTGGCGCGGGCACTCATACGGAACACCGCGCTCTACACGCACCAGGTACATATGGCCTGTTTGAGACCCTGCGCGCGCCGCCGCACCACGCGCTCGCACTGGCGCGGGCACTCATACGGAACACCGCGCTCTACACGCACCAGGTACATATGGCCTGTTTGAGACCCTGCGCGCGCCGCCGCACCACGCGCTCGCACTGGCGCGGGCACTCATACGGAACACCGCGCTCTACACGCACCAGGTACATATGGCCTGTTTGAGACCCTGCGCGCGCCGCCGCACCACGCGCTCGCACTGGCGCGGGCACTCATACGGAACACCGCGCTCTACACGCACCAGGTACATATGGCCTGTTTGAGACCCTGCGCGCGCCGCCGCACCACGCGCTCGCACTGGCGCGGGCACTCATACGGAACACCGCGCTCTACACGCACCAGGTACATATGGCCTGTTTGAGACCCTGCGCGCGCCGCCGCACCACGCGCTCGCACTGGCGCGGGCACTCATACGGAACACCGCGCTCTACACGCACCAGGTACATATGGCCTGTTTGAGACCCTGCGCGCGCCGCCGCACCACGCGCTCGCACTGGCGCGGGCACTCATACGGAACACCGCGCTCTACACGCACCAGGTACATATGGCCTGTTTGAGACCCTGCGCGCGCCGCCGCACCACGCGCTCGCACTGGCGCGGGCACTCATACGGAACACCGCGCTCTACACGCACCAGGTACATATGGCCTGTTTGAGACCCTGCGCGCGCCGCCGCACCACGCGCTCGCACTGGCGCGGGCACTCATACGGAACACCGCGCTCTACACGCACCAGGTACATATGGCCTGTTTGAGACCCTGCGCGCGCCGCCACACCACGCGCTCGCACTGGCGCGGGCACTCATACGGAACACCGCGCTCTACACGCACCAGGTACATATGGCCTGTTTGAGACCCTGCGCGCGCCGCCGCACCACGCGCTCGCACTGGCGCGGGCACTCATACGGAACACCGCGCTCTACACGCACCAGGTACATATGGCCTGTTTGAGACCCTGCGCGCGCCGCCGCACCACGCGCTCGCACTGGCGCGGGCACTCATACGGAACACCGCGCTCTACACGCACCAGGTACATATGGCCTGTTTGAGACCCTGCGCGCGCCGCCGCACCACGCGCTCGCACTGGCGCGGGCACTCATACGGAACACCGCGCTCTACACGCACCAGGTACATATGGCCTGTTTGAGACCCTGCGCGCGCCGCCGCACCACGCGCTCGCACTGGCGCGGGCACTCATACGGAACACCGCGCTCTACACGCACCAGGTACATATGGCCTGTTTGAGACCCTGCGCGCGCCGCCGCACCACGCGCTCGCACTGGCGCGGGCACTCATACGGAACACCGCGCTCTACACGCACCAGGTACATATGGCCTGTGAGACCCTGCGCGCGCCGCCGCACCACGCGCTCGCACTGGCGCGGGCACTCATACGGAACACCGCGCTCTACACGCACCAGGTACATATGGCCTGTTTGAGACCCTGCGCGCGCCGCCGCACCACGCGCTCGCACTGGCGCGGGCACTCATACGGAACACCGCGCTCTACACGCACCAGGTACATATGGCCTGTTTGAGACCCTGCGCGCGCCGCCGCACCACGCGCTCGCACTGGCGCGGGCACTCATACGGAACACCGCGCTCTACACGCACCAGGTACATATGGCCTGTTTGAGACCCTGCGCGCGCCGCCGCACCACGCGCTCGCACTGGCGCGGGCACTCATACGGAACACCGCGCTCTACACGCACCAGGTACATATGGCCTGTTTGAGACCCTGCGCGCGCCGCCGCACCACGCGCTCGCACTGGCGCGGGCACTCATACGGAACACCGCGCTCTACACGCACCAGGTACATATGGCCTGTTTGAGACCCTGCGCGCGCCGCCGCACCACGCGCTCGCACTGGCGCGGGCACTCATACGGAACACCGCGCTCTACACGCACCAGGTACATATGGCCTGTTTGAGACCCTGCGCGCGCCGCCGCCGCACCACGCGCTCGCACTGGCGCGGGCACTCATACGGAACACCGCGCTCTACACGCACCAGGTACATATGGCCTGTTTGAGACCCTGCGCGCGCCGCCGCACCACGCGCTCGCACTGGCGCGGGCACTCATACGGAACACCGCGCTCTACACGCACCAGGTACATATGGCCTGTTTGAGACCCTGCGCGCGCCGCCGCACCACGCGCTCGCACTGGCGCGGGCACTCATACGGAACACCGCGCTCTACACGCACCAGGTACATATGGCCTGTTTGAGACCCTGCGCGCGCCGCCGCACCACGCGCTCGCACTGGCGCGGGCACTCATACGGAACACCGCGCTCTACACGCACCAGGTACATATGGCCTGTTTGAGACCCTGCGCGCGCCGCCGCACCACGCGCTCGCACTGGCGCGGGCACTCATACGGAACACCGCGCTCTACACGCACCAGGTACATATGGCCTGTTTGAGACCCTGCGCGCGCCGCCGCACCACGCGCTCGCACTGGCGCGGGCACTCATACGGAACACCGCGCTCTACACGCACCAGGTACATATGGCCTGTTTGAGACCCTGCGCGCGCCGCCGCACCACGCGCTCGCACTGGCGCGGGCACTCATACGGAACACCGCGCTCTACACGCACCAGGTACATATGGCCTGTTTGAGACCCTGCGCGCGCCGCCGCACCACGCGCTCGCACTGGCGCGGGCACTCATACGGAACACCGCGCTCTACACGCACCAGGTACATATGGCCTGTTTGAGACCCTGCGCGCGCCGCCGCACCACGCGCTCGCACTGGCGCGGGCACTCATACGGAACACCGCGCTCTACACGCACCAGGTACATATGGCCTGTTTGAGACCCTGCGCGCGCCGCCGCACCACGCGCTCGCACTGGCGCGGGCACTCATACGGAACACCGCGCTCTACACGCACCAGGTACATATGGCCTGTTTGAGACCCTGCGCGCGCCGCCGCACCACGCGCTCGCACTGGCGCGGGCACTCATACGGAACACCGCGCTCTACACGCACCAGGTACATATGGCCTGTTTGAGACCCTGCGCGCGCCGCCGCACCACGCGCTCGCACTGGCGCGGGCACTCATACGGAACACCGCGCTCTACACGCACCAGGTACATATGGCCTGTTTGAGACCCTGCGCGCGCCGCCGCACCACGCGCTCGCACTGGCGCGGGCACTCATACGGAACACCGCGCTCTACACGCACCAGGTACATATGGCCTGTTTGAGACCCTGCGCGCGCCGCCGCACCACGCGCTCGCACTGGCGCGGGCACTCATACGGAACACCGCGCTCTACACGCACCAGGTACATATGGCCTGTTTGAGACCCTGCGCGCGCCGCCGCACCACGCGCTCGCACTGGCGCGGGCACTCATACGGAACACCGCGCTCTACACGCACCAGGTACATATGGCCTGTTTGAGACCCTGCGCGCGCCGCCGCACCACGCGCTCGCACTGGCGCGGGCACTCATACGGAACACCGCGCTCTACACGCACCAGGTACATATGGCCTGTTTGAGACCCTGCGCGCGCCGCCGCACCACGCGCTCGCACTGGCGCGGGCACTCATACGGAACACCGCGCTCTACACGCACCAGGTACATATGGCCTGTTTGAGACCCTGCGCGCGCCGCCGCACCACGCGCTCGCACTGGCGCGGGCACTCATACGGAACACCGCGCTCTACACGCACCAGGTACATATGGCCTGTTTGAGACCCTGCGCGCGCCGCCGCACCACGCGCTCGCACTGGCGCGGGCACTCATACGGAACACCGCGCTCTACACGCACCAGGTACATATGGCCTGTTTGAGACCCTGCGCGCGCCGCCGCACCACGCGCTCGCACTGGCGCGGGCACTCATACGGAACACCGCGCTCTACACGCACCAGGTACATATGGCCTGTTTGAGACCCTGCGCGCGCCGCCGCACCACGCGCTCGCACTGGCGCGGGCACTCATACGGAACACCGCGCTCTACACGCACCAGGTACATATGGCCTGTTTGAGACCCTGCGCGCGCCGCCGCACCACGCGCTCGCACTGGCGCGGGCACTCATACGGAACACCGCGCTCTACACGCACCAGGTACATATGGCTGTTTGAGACCCTGCGCGCGCCGCCGCACCACGCGCTCGCACTGGCGCGGGCACTCATACGGAACACCGCGCTCTACACGCACCAGGTACATATGGCCTGTTTGAGACCCTGCGCGCGCCGCCGCACCACGCGCTCGCACTGGCGCGGGCACTCATACGGAACACCGCGCTCTACACGCACCAGGTACATATGGCCTGTTTGAGACCCTGCGCGCGCCGCCGCACCACGCGCTCGCACTGGCGCGGGCACTCATACGGAACACCGCGCTCTACACGCACCAGGTACATATGGCCTGTTTGAGACCCTGCGCGCGCCGCCGCACCACGCGCTCGCACTGGCGCGGGCACTCATACGGAACACCGCGCTCTACACGCACCAGGTACATATGGCCTGTTTGAGACCCTGCGCGCGCCGCCGCACCACGCGCTCGCACTGGCGCGGGCACTCATACGGAACACCGCGCTCTACACGCACCAGGTACATATGGCCTGTTTGAGACCCTGCGCGCCGCCGCACCACGCGCTCGCACTGGCGCGGGCACTCATACGGAACACCGCGCTCTACACGCACCAGGTACATATGGCCTGTTGAGACCCTGCGCGCGCCGCCGCACCACGCGCTCGCACTGGCGCGGGCACTCATACGGAACACCGCGCTCTACACGCACCAGGTACATATGGCCTGTTTGAGACCCTGCGCGCGCCGCCGCACCACGCGCTCGCACTGGCGCGGGCACTCATACGGAACACCGCGCTCTACACGCACCAGGTACATATGGCCTGTTTGAGACCCTGCGCGCGCCGCCGCACCACGCGCTCGCACTGGCGCGGGCACTCATACGGAACACCGCGCTCTACACGCACCAGGTACATATGGCCTGTTTGAGACCCTGCGCGCGCCGCCGCACCACGCGCTCGCACTGGCGCGGGCACTCATACGGAACACCGCGCTCTACACGCACCAGGTACATATGGCCTGTTTGAGACCCTGCGCGCGCCGCCGCACCACGCGCTCGCACTGGCGCGGGCACTCATACGGAACACCGCGCTCTACACGCACCAGGTACATATGGCCTGTTTGAGACCCTGCGCGCGCCGCCGCACCACGCGCTCGCACTGGCGCGGGCACTCATACGGAACACCGCGCTCTACACGCACCAGGTTACTGGCGCCTATTTAGAACATGACCTGTTGACAACTGGACTAACCGGACAAATCACTGCAGTGGCCTTGAAGTTAAGGCCCCCAAACCTAAATAACCGAATTGGTGATTCGTTCTTTGAGTTTGACCCTCTGCTCAACTAAGTCACTGAGAAGGCAGTAATTTCACTTCGCATTATACTAAGAGACTTTGTCAATTAACATACGACTAAAAGATAATTCACCCTTATATCTTTAGCGTCTCACTACAATTTCAAGTATAGGAAATAAATTCATTCTTTGCTCTGAATATTATTATCTCGTCTCATAAAACATATGTTATGTTCCAGGTGTATCCAGATGAAGGTCATAACTTCGAGCGCTCCTCAATACATCTCCACAAAACGATGGAGCAGTTCTTTGACGAATGTTTCGGCCCCGTCGAGGTGGCAGACTGGGACACAGGAGGTGTAGGCGGTCTGTTCCCGTTCAGGGACTAGTCTTACGACCAGGGGATAGGCGAAGCCTCCCCTTAGATAACTGAGAAGAATTCTAAAAGGGTCGATACCAAGAATCGATGTTCAGATTGACGGCGAAAGATTTTTAAAGCGATTATTTTTTCCAGATAAAATTACATGGAGATAGGCGATTAGAAGCGGATTTGTTACGCTAATCGAAAACAGCTTTTCTCATATAGGTGTACTTAGGAATTCATGGTTTGATAAGTAACCAAGAAATGCTCAGCCCTGGTGTCCAGAGAGAGCCCTCTAACAATGTGACCAATGAGGAGTATCGTGTTCGCAGTTTTTAATCACACTTTACCCATTTGATGTATCACCCTGAGACGTAACCTAAAGATATTAGGTACAGATTTATGAATAAAAAATATTTTGATTTGTATTCAAAAAATTCTTCCGCCAAAATATTAAGAACAAAACGCAATGGGCAATATTTTATTCTAAATGTCTTAACACGATTCATTACGGTTAGAAAAATGTGATCAAATCATAGATTTGCTGTCGCCCAACAGATGGCGTAAGTGTACAGAGTAAAGAAAGTAAAGATAGTTCGTTTTAACTTGAATATAATGAGGAAAAAATGTCTAAAATATGTATAAATTTTAATTGCAATTTGGCAAAAACTGATAATAATAATAAAATGCCAAAAAAAATACTTCCATGATTTGAGAATTATTATCTAAAAATTAAAGAACGCGTGTGTAGATGAAAATATTTTGAATAAATTACAAATCCATTTTGAAACACGCGTCTATATTTTAGCTAGAACAATTAAAGTGTCAGTTTAATTTCTTTAAATAATAATAATTAAAATCGATAAAACCAAGTTTTGACCATAAAAATAAGTTGACAACTGTATAATTAAATTCTCTCTACCAACGTGTGGTAATCCACAGTTAATAAAATAGAGACATGTACAAAAACATGGTTTATAACGTATATAAAATGTTTCAGTAATGGTGCATATAACTGTATTTGTGCAGTTATAAAGATAACAATTTAAATTGTATAAGCCTAATACGTCGCTAACTAGATAAAAAAAAAAAACAATAAATCTTTACGGTCGTTGGTGTGTTAGGAACATTATGTCGTATTAATTTAAACTAAAAATATTATTATTAGTAGTTTGTGGACAATTTTGTGCGAAAATCACTCTTATTTCTGATTACTCACGGTTCTTTTTATATATGTATAAATTGAAATAGTTTAAGAAAATATTTATAACATTCCATTGAATGCCACAAAACGATTTTCAACTCTATCTGTCTCTGTATAAGGTCCAAAATTGTCCACAAACTGTATGAAAAAGGGATAAAGATGTCTCTGAAAATTTTCTTATGATTACTATAAGGAGAATATAACTTATTTTAGTGTATAATGTATCAACTTTTATCTAATCTATATATTTCTATGTCGCTTTCAATGTCAGAAGAGTAGCTTTAAAAGTATACTTAGGCACGTTAAAGTCTAAAGAAGATATTTAGTTTTGACTATTCTAGTCTTAAAACCTAGTCACTTAGACAAATATCTATGTATCTGTATAATTTGGGCACAATGTCTTGATCTCTTTCCATAATACTATGTCTTTAGGCCTTAATTCATATGTAGTACAATAATTAAATTGTAGTTTAATTATTGTTGGTATAGGTAGCCCCACGAAGCATTACCTATCTTATAAAATTAGGAAGATGACCACAAAAGAAAAAATATATATCTATAGGACCTAGTCCATATATTGTACTGCATATGATAAATACAAAAATCTTACCTATCTGAATGCCAGTAGCTTTCTCTCATGTCATTGCCTACCTCATTACATACTTTCTGTTATGTATACAAATAATGTATCTTTATTCATATATTATATGTATCTTATAGCTCCTGGCATTCAAGTCTCTTCGCCTTCCTTCTATCTATTTTAAAACTATAAAATTACTTTCAAAACCAACAAAAAGTATGTTCATTTATAAATGTATAGGTTTAAATAAATGAATTTGTTAAAATTATAAATATTTATAATAAATACAATTTGATCGATGTTGAGACTTAAATTATAGGATGTGATAGGTGTTTTTAAATAATTTATATTATAATTATTACTGTATGTAACGATTGATTGGAATTTATTAAATTTTAATTGTGTAAACATTTTGGCGGGAAACAGTAGTTAAAATGTAGGGTTATTCCTACGTTTTGTCCAACAGTATTTTTGTAATGAATGAGAAATAATAATTATGATGACAAATTATATGTCTTGTATTTTAAAGTTACAAGTTACAACTCCACGCAATTATCTAGAAAATACATATAATTACAGTGATATTTTTAACCTTTTCGCCGCCAACAACTTCTATAGAAGTTCAGGATTTTCGTGCCGTCCACGCCACTACTTCTATAGAAGTTCATTGTATCTACCTACTATAAAAAATACATTGACGATACATAAAACATTTGTTTCTTTGTAATTTTGTAATATGGACACGACGAACTATTTTTTCTCATGCAAAACAGACTATTTTCTGTTTTAAAAAGGTAAAACATAAAAGGTTTCAAATAATTTTATATCCCGCACGCCAACGACTTCATATCAAGTAGGCCAGTGATGTGACGCGTAAGGAGCATTCATTAGAATCTTTATTTACTATAATATTTGTTTTCTTTTCCATCCAATAGTTTTTTGAATTCTATGAATAAAAAGAAATTCCGGTCAGAAAATAACGTATTACAATGCGTTTCAAAATTAATGTACATCTACCTATCAAATCATTTCATTAAAATTAATTATTATGTACTGAGGGTTTTCGATATTGCTAGACCCATCTCTACGTAATGGCAAGATGTCGAGTGACACTAGCGCCGTCAACTTCAATAGAAGTAAACCTGTGACGTCGTAAGCGCTTAGGCGTCAAGGTCATTGTGTCATAGTTCCGGGCGACGCGTGCACGCACGCAATCGCACTTAATCGATTAATCGCACGGCCTATACCTATAATTATTTTCATGATTATGAAATATCCAAATGATTGAGTCATTTTGATTCGATTACAAACTGTTTGGGTCGCGAAAAATTTGTGATCGACTCAGGTCTATATTTGTTCGCCGACACAGCTAAAAGTTTGCGAAACCGAGAGCCGCAACGAATAGGTATTTTATGACTACCTAATATCCATCAAACGTGCCAGTTTTTCATTTGCATTAAATGAAAAATAAGCTATTAAAGTTTAGTACATCTGTATTAAAATAGTTATTTACCATCCATTTCCAAAACTACACATATGTTGCCACTTTTAATCACTACAAACAATGTTCCTGATCGTGACCTGACGTTAGATTTTAAATGTAAACTAAAACCAAAAGCAAACCAAACTCGATAGAAAGAAAGAAAAGCATAGACAACTATTCCTTACGAAATGTATCGTGCTTTGAACGCCAATGACTTGATATGAAGTAAACAGACTACGTTATGAAATGAATAGTGAAGTGGCTAATGTTACGAATTATTATTATTATCTCTAGCAACTCTATGCATGTATCTTCATCTCTGATAACGGATACCCATTTTTCTTAGTATAAATGTTCATAAAATAAAACAAATTACCATTATAACTTAACAGTTTGTATTTTTAATTGTAAATTTGAGTACCAATTTAAATTTACACATATTTTTTTTCATTATCGACATGATGTTACCGCCATCCCTACTTTCGTACTATACATTTATTATACATTTATACGTTGGCGTACGGCGACACATCGTGTTTAGTATAGCTGGGCGGCGAAAAGGTTGGTATAAATCGACATTCAGAATACATATAAAACGTTGCTTTAGAGATCCTGAAAATATGAAGTTGAAAGTTCAATACTATTCAATACAAGTTTTAGTGGAACTTGTGACTTTAAAATGTAATAAAACAAATTCTATAATATTTGCTTCTCGCGTAACAATTTTACACAAAAATAAATTGGATCTTTAAGGACCCATAGAAGGGACGTCTATTTAAACTTGAAAATATTAAACTATCAAAAAATGTCTTTGAAATCCAGATTCTGTAGTTCGAATTTGTATCTAAAAATATTGATTTATGTAAAATTGTTACGTAAGTAGGTAAAGTGATAGTACCAAAATGGATGCACGTAGTTATCCGCGCTGTATCCCCGATAGCAGAGTATCACAGTAGCCGTGATATATATGTGTACGTACATGCTCAGATGAATGCATTGTTTATGTTGAAAAAGTTGTTTTTATAAAAAAAAAAATAGAGAAAATTTGTTCCGAAACTGTGGTTTTATTTAGTTCCTATCATTTCTCGTTTTTAAAATGCGGCCAGAAACCGAAATTCCGAAACAAAGACACACAAAAGCATTTTTTTTTTCATAATAACACATAACATAGCATCACGCCTTTTATCCCCGAAGGGGTAGGCAGAGGTGCACATTACGGCACTTAATGCCACTGTTCAACACCCACTTTTCACTATTTATGTTATGAGTCCCATGTAATAGGGGATTTTTTTTCATAATCAAAAATACGTCATATTAGTCCCGAAGTAGAAATAGAAGAAAAAGAAAATACATATATTACTCAATACTCAATCCTTTATTGCTTTCCACATGACTATATGACTTAGGTAGTAAACATATGTAATTAGGATACTATGTGGACCCTGTCGGGCACAACAATGAAGTTTAATACGAACTTCAGTCCTGATACTTCGAGACAAAACATAACGTAGGTACTTTGATGCGACTAAGTAATAATAGTAATAATTCTTTATAATTCTACCAGCATCTAAATACATCAAGCTCTGTCTCCTGAACTAAGCGATGCTTGTATATTAAGAGACCTTCCCATTACATTTTGATACAAATTTGGTTATATATGTATGTTTGTGTGTGTATATTATATTTGTGTGTATGTTATATGGGTAAGTGTGTGTGTGTATGCGCTCGTGCGCATTTGCATGTGGTTGTAGTAGAAAGTGT